TTTGTTGTCGTGAGGGAATTGGAGTCTCAAAAAATGAACATAAGGCATTCGAATATTTTCAAAAATCTGCAGTCATGGGTCATGCTGATGGAATATATATGGTTGATTCCTGTTATCATGAAGGAATCGGTGTCTCAAAGGATGGATGTAAGGCATTCGAATATTTTCAAAAATCAGCTGACATGGGTCATGCTTTTGGAATATATATGGTTGGCTTTTGTTGTCGTGAGGGAATTGGAGTCTCAAAAAATGAACATAAGGCATTCGAATATTTTCAAAAATCTGCAGTCATGTGTCATGCTGATGGAATATATATGGTTGGTTTCTGTTATCATGAAGGAATCGGTGTCTCAAAGGATGGATGTAAGGCATTCGCATGTTTTCAAATATCTGCAAAAATGGGTCATGCTGGTGGAACTTTTAGGGTTGGATTTTGTTATCTTGAGGGAATTGGAGTCTCAAAAGATAAACATAAGGCATTTGACTATTTTCAAAAATCCGCTGACATGGGTCATGCTTTTGGAACATATACGGTTAGTTCCTGTTATCATGAAGGAATCGGAGTCTCTAAGGATGGATGCAAGGCATTCGAATATTTTCAAAAATCCGCTGACATGGGTCATGCTATTGGAACATATATGGTTGGTCTTTGCTATAATAAGAGAATTGGAGTCTCAAAAGATGAATATAAGGCATTCGAATATTTTCAAAAATCCGCTGACATGGGTAATGCTCTTGGAACATATACGGTTGGTTCCCGTTATCTTGAAGGAATCGGAGTTTCAAAACACAAGCATAAGGCATTCAAATATTTTCAAAAATCCGCTGACATGGGTCATGCTCAAGGAACATATATAGTTGGTTTCTGTTATTTGGAGGGGATTGGAGTCCCAAAAGATGAACATAAAGCATTCGAATACTATCAAAAATCCGCCGAGATGGGTCATGCCGAAGGTGTTTATGTTGTTGGCCATTGTTATTTGCATGGAATCGGAGTCCTCTAAGACGAACGCAATGCGTTCATTCATTATGAAAAATCCGCTTACATGGGCTATCCTCTTGGAATATATAATGTTGGTGTTTGTTATCAACATGGAATCGGGGTCGAAAAGGATGAACATATTGCATTTGGATATTATCAAATATCTGCTGACATTGGCAATGCTGATGGAATGTATAATGTCGGCTATTGTTATGACAAAGGGGTTGCAGTCTTAAAGGATAAGCATAAAGCATTTGAATACTATCAAAAATCTGCCGACTTAGGTCATGCAGAAGGAACATTTGAAGTTGGTTATTGTTATCATCATGGAATCGGTGTTGAAAGAAACTTTTGTAAAGCTTTCGAATATTATCAGAAAGCTGCCAACATGGGCCATGTTGAAGGAACATTTCGTGTTGGCATTTGTTATTATGAGGAAATCGGAGTCTCAAAGGATGGATGCAAGGCATTCGAATATTTTCAAAAATCCGCCGATCTAGGTCATACTCATGGAACATTTAATATTGGTATGAGTTATTATAATGGAATTGGAGTCGAGAGGAACATGAACAAAGCATTAGAATATTTCAAAAAATCTGCAGACATGGGTCACATTTATGGAACATTTAATGTTGGCAAATTTTATGAAGAAGGAATAGGAGTCGAAAAAAACGATTGCAAAGCCTTTGAGTATCTTCAAAAAGCCGCCGACATGGGTGATGATATTGGAATGAATAATGTTGGAAATTTTTATGAACGTGGAACTGGGGTTAAAAAGGACGAATCTAATGCATTTATTCATTTTCAAAAATCTGCTAAGATGGGTAATATTCTCGGAATGTTTCAAGTTGGTCGATGCTATCGAAATGGGATTGGCACGAAAAGAAACGTGCAGAAATCGAATTATTGGTATCAGAGGTAAAAGCATTTTGTTAAATTTATTTAATACTTACTTGATAATTAATTTAGATTATAAATGTAAATTAGAGCGAAAGACAAGATAATAGGTAATTTATATGTTAATTTGACTAAGACCAGTTCAACTTGATTTTCTTTTTAACATAACCCCCATCCAATTTTTTTATCTAATATCACTGTGTTGCTTAAATACTCCACTCCACTCTTACAAGCTTTCTTATGTTATGCTAGACAGAAAATTAAGCTGGTCTGACATAATGAATTTTTGCTAAATCATTAAATCTTTTATCATAGCTGATTATAAATGTGCATCTAAAAAATTTGACGTTGATGACGATTTGAAAAAGATGTTAATTGAAAATAAATATCAATTGCCATGGATTCCTTATGATAAATTTTCAAATTTTAAAGAAATAGGGAAAGGTGGATTTGCTACTGTGTACAGTGCGACATGGGATTATGAACGGTATCATTCAATTCCTGTTGCACACAAAATAATTGATTCAAATGATTGCAAAGAATTTATTCAAGAGGTAATTAGTAGAGATATCACATAATAATATTGAGCATTTGTACAATGTACAATTTATCCAAAATAATTTAACTGGACATAATGAAATTTTTATTGGGCATTATAATGGATCCGTATCATTTCATCGACCGACAACTTAATTCACCTAAGATTAATTTTCAAACAAACTTATTTTACTGACGATTAACTCACAGACAAGCTCATTTCAGACAGTTTACTACACTGGCAGCTTATTTCACTGAATTTTTCTTATAAATTACACTAATTTTAATTCTAAACCTGACCTAATGACAATGACTAGAATTACTTTATCAGTGAAATTAACTGTCTGTGAAAAGAACTTGTATGTGAATTAATCGTCAGTAAATTTATTGTTAGTAAACTAAGTGTTGCCGATAAAATGAAGAACCATTATATTTATGCAGATTATTATGTGTTTAATGCTATCCAATTAAATTATAATAAGATTATTGGACAATTGGACATATGGGATCTTTGCTCGGATTATTTTCTAAAAATAAATTTATGTTTTTCTTAATAAAAATCTCGTGTAACAATGGCGTAGGGTCATTTTTGCTAGCAAAGATCCCATATGTCCAATTATTTTTATAATTTTTGGATACTGTCCAATGTCTAATGCTCCAAAAACTTATTTGGACATACAGAACAAATTGGGCATAGTCCAAATGTCCAAATGTCTAATTAACTTTATTTGGACGTTTTCTAATAAATTTATTATAGTTAAAAGCATATTGTGAAATTGGAAGTGTGAATCCTTCGTTTTTAAAATGTTATGGAATATCAAGAGATAATAAAGGGAAGTATGTTCTTGTTTTGGAACTTGCTAGGATGGAATCTTTAAGTCGAAATCTTTATCAAATACCATGCATGGTTTGGAGGAAAAAACTAAATTTGTTATATTATATAATTTCTGACCTCGAGACAATTCATACTCAAGGATATGTTCATCGAGATTTGCATAGTGGTAACATTTTACAAGATGATTTAGATAATGCATATATCACAGATTTAGGATTCATGACACAAGTGAAAGGTGAAGATAAAATTGTTGGTGTCATACCTTATATTGCTCCAGAGGTTTTATTAGGTAAACCATTTACACAAGCAGCAGACATATATTCGTTTGGAATAATCATGACGGAAATAACTACTGGACTAAAGCCCTTCGTTAATTATGATGGTGAATTTGATACTGAGCTTGCATTGGAGATTTGTAATGGATTAAGACCAGAATTCGCTTTGGATATCCCTAGTTGCTATATTGAATTAGCAAATCGATGCATGGATCACGATCCACAAAAGCGACCCACTGCTGCAGATATAAAGAGTAAACTTGACGAATGGAACGCGGAACTGGAAAGTTCGAATGAAAACGAGATTAAAGAGCAATTCAAAGATGATGACGAAATGTATAGGTTTCTGCCTAAAATTATTCTTATAAGACCTAGATTGATTCCAAGACACTCGTACGTAAGAAAATTCATTGAAACAGCTAAAATTATCACCAGCCATTTGAACTCTAATCATTCACGAGATATGCTGGATTCCGGTTTACATAATCTTCATTTATAAGCTTTTATGTTTAATACGAAATTTAACAAAATTTTATGCGTGTTTTACCATAAAATTAGTCAATACTAGACGCTTGTGAATTGTTTAAAGGGAGTTAGAAATGAGAGTGCTATTTTGTATTATTGCATGTTAGTTCTAGCATAGTTTAAGTATAGTTTTTCAAAGACTTTTCATTAGATTATGCAATTGTAGCGAGGCGCCATTGGTCCCCCCTAAATAGAATATGAAACTTGTATCTAACAATAAATTTTGTAACTTCAATTAATCATAATATTTGCACAAATCTTGATCATTTACCAATAATATTGTGTAAAGGAAGATATTTAAATTATAAACTATTTACTAATTACTATTTTAAATTGCTAAATTATATTAGTTGAATTGTGATAATTAGAAATTTTCAAATTTAATACGATTTTGCCAATTTATGAACTGTCTACCGGAGATGTTTAATTTTGGAATTTTGATAAAAATTTTTAAAAATTCAAATTAGTTTTTTTTTTAATTTGGAAATTATAAAGTAAAAATATACAGATCTATATATTTTATGTATTAAATAAGGTTTACTTGAAGTATAAAATTAGAAACAATTAAGTAATATCTATTTTTTAATAATTTTATTAATAATCTTATGTAAAATATTATAAAAAACTCTTCTCAGATTACTTGGTCCAAGTTTATAGGTTTGCAACTAAGCAAACTTGTTGTTGATAAAGCATATATATATAACATCAATAAGCAGACATAGAATAAGCAGTTTGTGCCTTAGGTCAAGCTTTTCTTCTTGGCAGACTCCCTTGTACAT